GGAACAACCAACAACTACCGAACGTTTGGCACCCCGTGCACCCATGTTGCAAGCACAGGGGGTGGCAGATCGAAGCCGCCTACGGCGAACCACCGCCACCTCCTGCCCTTTTGGAAACGCCTATGAGGCTAAACGTTGGGCCACCGTCTGGATAAGCTAGTGGTATATGTGTTCCCCCAGCCGTTATGGAAAACCTTAGGGGAACGCGCGAGTGGGAAGAGGATGAGGAAGAAGTGGGAGAGGAGGAGGAGGAGGATGCCTCGTTGGAGCCTCTTCGGGCCGTCCTGGGCCCTACTGGGTACTTCTGGGAGCCTCCTGAGGGACTCTTGGGGGCCCCTTGGGACCTCTTCGGCCATTCTAAGGCGCTCTTGGCCCGCCCGACGACGTCGGCGGCCGTCTTGGAAGCCTCTCTGGGCTGTCTTGGAACCCTCTCGGAGTGCTTTACGGCTGTCTTGAAATTCTCGTGGGCCCTCTTGGGGCCCTCTTGGGGCCGTCTTGGGGGCCTCTTGGGCGATCTTGGGGTCCTCTTGGATCGACTTGGGGCCCTCGTGGGTTGTTTTGGAGCTATATTGGAGGCCTCTTAGGCCATCTTGGAACGCCAGAAGCCCGAAAACGCGAGTATGCTAAAATTCTTCAGACACCTAAGGATAATTCATGCTGTTTGCCTATTGGGGCCCTCATGTCAGGCCTCTCGGGGCTCTCTTGGGATGTCCTGGCAATCTCTTGGGCCATTTTGAGCCCATTTCGGGCCTTCTTGCGTTCATCTTGGGCCATCTTGGGCTCTATTGAAGCAATATTGGCCGTCTTGGAGGCATCTTGGGGCCGTCTTGGAGGCCATCTTGGGCGTCCTGGAAGCGTCTTGTAGACCAATTTGGGCCGTCCTGGCGGTCTTGGAGGCGATGGGGCCAATGTAGAACGAAATCTTGGAGCTTTCTGGGTGGCCGGCGGCCAGCGGGATCGGCCAACAGCCATTCGGAGTTCGTTAGAAGCGAACCCAGACCTTTCAGAAGTTCAGCACACCAGGCACCTCTGGGATGAATCCCAAGGGGGCGGCGGATCGACTAGCCCCTGCTGGCGGTCTCGAGGGGACAATCGTGGATGGCATGGCTCGAGATGTCAGTTCGTGCTCCCCCTCTCTTGAGCCTCTTGGGCCGGGGACCTCGGGGGCCCTCTTGTGACCTCGGAGGCCGTTTTGGGGCGATGTTGGGGGCCTCTTGGGCAGTTCTAGACGCTGCTCAGACCGAAAAGGCGAGTTTGCGAAAGTCATACAAGCATTTCATATTTTCTGATGATCTTGGCCTCTTCGGCTGGCCCCCAGGGCCTCCAAGATACCGAATAAGCTCCAAGAGTCCCTGCCGCACAATTGCAAGCAGTTATCTTTGGCTCACTCTGCTCATTCCCGGGTCAAAGTGCCAAGTGTCATGGCGCGCGTGAAATAGGTTTGATTTAGTTGTGGCCGAAGTTGCAAGTTACCTTCGAGTGTCACTACCATCGTATCCAATGAGTTGTGTTGTTGCGCGGTGCAGTTCAGATTGTTCACACAAAGATTTCAGGCCAGTCTTGGGATGTATGGACAACACTTCAGCCCCTCATGAGATCTCGTATTGACATTAAGAAGCAGCCTGCTGGTACCCACGGGACAAGCAAAAGCAAATAGTTTCAATATCAGTGCCTCTCCAAGTGACGATATCGACTCTTCCATGGTGTACGCATGGTTTCAGGGACTCGATGCGTTCGGTGAGCCAGCTGTCTTCTTCGCAGCACCGGGTGTGCCAGGAGTTTCGTCAGGATTCTGCGAATGGCGGGGACCTCGTCAGGATTCTGAAGTTTAGACTCATGGACCCTGGATTGTACTAGATGCGCATCATACTGCATCGCGGGACAAGTATCGAGCTCGCACATAGCAGCGAGCGGAGCAACCGTCCCCTTCGGGGCGCACCGCGTTGTTGTTGCAGACGACACGAATGAAGAAAGCCCCGCGCAATCAGTTGCAATGTTGTTTCCACATCCACCGTCCACGTACGCTGCTGGAGTTAGCCGCCACTGTGAAGGCCGAAGGGTTTGTTGCGATTTGTCAGGTGAGTCGAGCTGTCTTCGCGATGAGTGGCGCAATGGCCCCGCTGAACCCGGGGAACCCATTGAAGGCTGGCCTTTCAAAATAACGAAGGACACAAAGCCAAAGGACCCTGGGAGCCCGTGGAACCCGATGAACACACCCCGAGCGAGGAGCGCCAAGCAACCCCGAGGTACGCCATTGTAAAGAAATCACTATAAAGGAACAAGGCCAGGGAACGCCATCTTAAAGAGACAAGTTCAAGGAGTCCCGAGGAACGCCGGCCGGCGCAGGTCGCACACCCGCGGGTTTCTTCGAACACAGGTACGAGACCCGCTGCAGCGTGGGCCTCATTGTAGGCTCGTTGCTTCGTTCCTGTCGTGCAGAACGGCCATCTCGTTCCAGCCTGGGCTACTTGTCTGGATCCGAGTCCATCCTCGTCGTTGTATCCCTGCTCCTTTCCTCCGCATCCGCATCCCTCCGCATCCCGTTCCTTTCCTCCGCTCCTTTCCTGGATCCTTCTCCTCCGCATCCCTTCCTGCTCCTCCCGCTTCCTCCCACTTCTGCTCCTGCTGCTGCTGCTGCCGTTCCTCCTCGTCCCCCTTCCTCACCCTCCTCTACCTCCTGATCATCCTTCAGCTCATCCGCCACCTCCTCCTGCTCATTCCTCCTCGTCCTCCAATGTACGCAGCTCCCCATTATGATTGCGCATTGCACGATGGTGCCATTTGGTGGGCTGTGGCTCCGCCATGTTACCCGTCGGCAGATCGAGAATTACGCTACCGAGGAACCCCACATACTTAACTTAAATCTTGTGTGTTTGCTTAAGTTTATAATATATGCGCAATTCTGCGTTCTCGGCCCTCGTCGCGAATGTTCCCCTATGTGTCATCCAACGCCATATTGCTTGAACCTCCTCCCTCTTCCTAGCCTTCTATCCTCCGTCGAGGACATATTCGAGCCAGCCAGCGGCCGCGGTGAGGGACCACCCCCTGCGCACCCTCTCTGCTGTCGAGAAAGTGCCACGCCTGCTATGCCCTGGACGACCGTCGTGCATAGCGGCCGCGGTGAGGGACCAACCCCTGCGCAGCCTCTATGGTGTCGAGAAAATGCCGTGCCTGCTATGCCCTGGACGACCGTCGTGCATAGCAGCCTCGGTGAGGGACCACCCCCTGCGCACCCCCTTGACGTCGAGAAAATGCCACGCCTGCCATGCCCTGGACGACCGTCGTGCATAGCGGCCGCGCTGAGGGACCACCCTCTGCGCACCTCCTGTGGTGTCGAGAAAGTGCCACTCCTGCCATGCCCTGGACGACCGTCGTGCATAGAGGCCGCGCTGAGGGACCACCCTCTGCGCACCCCCTGTGGTGTCGAGAAAGTGCCACTCCTGCCACGACCTGCGAGCGTGTCACGGATAGAGGCCGCGCTGAGGGACCACCCTCTGCGCACCCCCTGTGGTGTCGAGAAAGTGCCACTCCTGCCAAGATCTGCGAGCGTGTCACGGATAGAGGCCGCGCTGAGGGACCACCCTCTGCGCACCCCCTGTGGTGTCGAGCAAGTGCCACTCCTGCCACGATCTGCGAGCGTGTCACGGATAGAGGCCGCGCTGAGGGACCACCACCCTCTGCGCACCCCCTGTGGTGTCGAGAAAGTGCCACTCTTGCCACGATCTGCGAGCGTGTCACGGATAGAGGCCGCGCTGAGGGACCACTTTCTGCGCACCCTTTGTGGTGTCGAACAAGTGCCATTCTTGCCACGATCTGCGAGCGTGTCACGGATAGAGGCCGCGCTGCGGGACCACCATCTCTGCGCACCCCCTGTGGTGTCGAGACAGTGCCACTCCTGCCACGATCTGCGAGCGTGTCACGGATAGAGGCCGCGTTGAGGGACCACCTTTTGCGCACCCCTTGTGGTGTCGAGAAAGTGCCACTCTTGCCACGATCTGCGAGCGTGCCACGGATAGAGTCCGCGCTGAGGGACCACCCTCTGCGCACCCCCTTGTGGCGTCGAGAAAGTGCCACTCCTGCCACGATCTGCGAGCGTGTCACGGATAGAGGCCGCGCTGAGGGACCACCTCTGCGCACCCCTTGTGGTGTCGAGAAAGTGCCATTCTTGCCACGATCTGCGAGCGTGTCACGGATAGAGGCCGCGTTGAGGGACCACCCTCTGCGCACCCCTTTGTGGTGTCGAGAATGTGCCACTCCTGCCACGATCTGCGAGCGTGTCACAGATAGAGGCCGCGCTGAGGGACCACCCTCTGCGCACCCCCTGTGGCGTCGAGACAGTGCCACTCCTGCCACGATCTGCGAGCGTGTCACGGATAGCGGCCGCGCTGAGGGACCACCCTCTGCGCACCCCTTGTGGTGTCGAGAAAGTGCCACTCCTGCCACGATCTGCGAGCGTGTCACGGATAGAGGCCGCGCTGAGGGACCACCACTTTTGCGCACCCCTTGTGGTGTCGAGAAAGTGCCATTTTTGCCACGATCTGCGAGCGTGTCACGGATAGAGGCCGCGCTGCGGGACCACCACCCTCTGCACACCCCTTGTGGTGTCGAGAAAGTGCTGAGCTGAGCTGCGCTGTGCTGTGCTGTGCTGTGCTCTGCTCTGCCGTGCTGTGCTGTGCTGTGCAGTGCTGCGTTGAGCCGTGCTGTGCCGTGATGTGTTGTGCTGAGCTGAGTTGTGTTGAGTTGTGCTGGGCTGTGCTGAGCTGTGCTGTGCTGTGTGCGGTGGGGGTTGGGGATGTGTGTGTGTGTGAGGAGACGCGGGTGCGACGCGGCAGAGAAGAAAACCAGAACCCCACGAACCATGTAGGGAAAACTCAGTTGGATGGGAATGGATGAGTGGGAGAGGTCGAATGTCAGAGATGGCGCGAGCGCATCCAGCTTGCCCACCGCCCCCTCGTCCCCTTCCTCCTCCCATCCCCCCCCCTGCCCCCTGCCCCTTGCAGGGCCAAAAGCCACGAGAAGGGCACCCCAGAACAGGGGCTGGTGCAGGCGAAGAAGAAGGCCCGCCTCGCGGCGGCAAAGTCTCATAGCAAG